AATTAATCAAAAACAAAAAAAAAAAAAAAACACACCACCACAGTTTGTCATGCAACAGAGAAAATGGAAAGACTTTCCCAAGACGGAAATGATTATTTATTTAATTATTATTACAAAGCACTGGGTGAACTAGTGACTATCATCACAGCGGCCTGGGTTTGACTCCCAGTCAGACCAACCCCAGCTACTGGAAGGCTGCATGGACCAGTGCACTCTCAGTGCTGGTCCCAAGCCCGGAAAATGGGGACAGTTGCATCAGGAAATGCATCCGGCTTAAAACTTGTGCCAGAATCAAAATATGCGGATGGGTGATCCGCCTTGGTGACCTGGAATGGAAGCAGCCAAAAGAGGGGAGAAAAAATCCCCAAAACAAAGCACTGATGCTGGAGAATCAAGATTGAATAAAGAACAGATGGACTAACAGTGTGGAATGATTCATCTAACACAGGGTGCTTTAAAACCGTCTGTTGGTCATTCCAAGCTGAAGGACACTTCTTTTTCAAGGTCTATCAATACTTCAGAATGGACAATACTCCTCATTCGGAGTAAAACTCTAAATGAAGAATGACCTCCAAGAGGAGTGTTCATGACCACGTGTTATTGACCAGTTTTTTTGTTGTTGTTTTTAAGTAAAAAGCAAAAATGAATTGATAAAATGATTAAAAAAAAAAAAACAAAAAAACAAAAAAAACAGTGTTAACAGGAGAGCAAGGTACCAAGAATGCATCACGTCAGAGGTACAACGTCAGAACTCTTCAGAGTCCAACTGTGCACCTGAATGATACTTATATTCCCCCAGATAAAGGTACAAGGACTCCTTGAGAGTACTACTAGAGTGGTTCAAAACGTGCCTCTTCTGAGCGTGTACTTGTGAATTTCTTCCACTAACTGAGAAATACAAAAATAAAAATAAAGTGTTTACTCCAATATTATCTGGTTCCCAGGAGAAGTGTTATTATTAAAACGCCTGACCTCTGAATGTAAGAAACAACCAGTGATGTGTGGATATGTATACCCAAGAGTTAGACTACATATGAAGTAGATTTTGTACATGTTGGAAACATTTTGCTAAAAGGGTTTCTGAGAGGTGAAACAAAGTGACAGCAACCTCCACTTTTCTACACACCTTTCTGCTGACATGGAAAGAGCTGAACACAAAAACAAATAGAAAAGATAGACATACACACCTAATCAGTTGGTTAAACCAGTGGATATATATATATTTTTATTTTGATATATCCACATGCGAGTTGCAAAAAGTCTCTGGAGGCCCTGGGAACTGATTCGAGAACCACTATTTTTAAATATCACTTCATTGTGAACCACAGTATCATCCAAAGTCTTATTTTGTGTTATTAAATGTTATTTTCAGAACTACTCATGAAAACACGGTAAATGTTAAGCAACATTCACCTTTAGTAACCACTTTATCTTGGCGGATCTGGATCCCAGAAACACTGGGCAGCAACACACCAGATCATGAGGCAATATAGCGTAGACCAGTGGACACCAACCCTGTTCCTGGAGATCTACCTTCCCTAAGACTTTAGCTCCAGGCATAATCGTGGCCACCTGACCTAATCATTGCCAGAGCCATATCTCCATGCAGTTCCCACCTGGTTTCCCACTGAAGCTAAGCAGGGTTGAGCCTGGCCAGTAACTACATGGGAGACCTGCTGCTGGAAGTTGTATTAATGAGACCAGCAGGGGGGGCTCGCCCTGTGACAGGGACACTACACTGTAAAAACAGCACTGTCCTGACTCTCTGTGGTCATTAAAAATCCCAGAACACTTCTAGTAAAAGGGGTATAACTCCAGAAATTTCCCCACTGGCCCTTCTCTATCATGGCCCCTGAATAATCTCCATCTCTGAATTGGCTACATCACTCTCTGTCCTCTCCACTAATAGCTGGTCGGTGTTCTGGTGCACTATGGCTGCCCCGCCCCCACCCCATACTATACGCTTTGAGTGTCTAGAAAAGCGCTATATAAACACAGCATGATCAACTAAAACAGCTGTGTTAGATTCTGGCTGGAGATGAAACCTGCAGGAAGACAGATCTCAAGGAACAGGGTTGGTGAGCACCGGTGTAGACAGTCCACCAACGGAGGTGATGGGAAACCAGAGAACCTGAAGGAAACTTACACAGACACATGGAGAACAAACTCTACACAGGCAGTAACTTGAGCTCTGGATCAAACTGGTGACCAAAAGCTGTTAGGCAGTAACGCTACCCGCTCCACCACAGTGCCCCTCCTGATCACTGATGTTCCTCTTAAATAACACTTTGCAACACCATCAGTCTTAAAATAAAAATAGCACGTACATCATATAACGAGAAAGAAGTCCCCAAAATCTGTAATATCCTGAGCGACACCATTCTGAATATTTGGTTTTACGGACATAGAGTTTAAAATAATACCCTGGTTTCATCTTACATAAAAGATCTGTATGTAATACAACCAACACCAGTGATTAAATTCCAGAAAAGTTGTCATGTTTTCCAGTGTGTACAACAACAACCAGCCCTCCAACCAATTACATTTTCCTGTTTATTTCTTAACCCTTAAGGTACAATCACGTACTCAGTGCACCATGGCAGAATAACTCACACTGCGAGCAAATACAAGATAGGAATTTCCACTTCCTGTGAGTGCAGGGTGGGGGTGAGGTTAGTGGTTGGGGGGGATGAAATCAACTCACAATGGAACAGGTTTGCCTTGGATCCAGGAATATAATTTTAGTATTTAACCATCTGCGCTCTCCATAACCATTCAAAGTTAAAAACATTTAAGGCCAATAAATGATCCTGAGAGCATACTTGGCTGAATATGAATTTGCCTTTTAAATTTGGAAGCAGGTTAAAAAACGACTCATCATAAATGCGTGAAATGTTTTTGCAGTTAAACTGTTCGCTTTAATCACAGCCACTCCAAAACAACAAAAATGGATCTCTCTCCAAGCTCAGCAGTGAATACTACAAAGTTCAATTTCCTCTGGAATCGGTAAAGATCATACGAGAGCGTGCTCAGGAGAAATAAATCAAGATGATTTTATTTATATTTCTTTTTTTGGTGAAATGAGCCGTGAGTGCAGAAACCTGAACAGCCCAAAAAGAAATAGGCTTACATATCCAACACGTTTCAACCTAAACTTTAAAAGCGTTGTATAAAATGTGGTACTGGCCGTGAAGCAGTGGATGCTGGTCAACATGGGGAAGTATTTCAGCTGATAAACGTATCCCGGGGGGAGGGAGATCTTATTTATTGGAGCAGCGATTACAGGGCTATAAAGTCATCGAGTCAGAATGTGGAGAGTTTTCAATCACTATCTATGGTCTGATTAACAAACTCACAACATGGCAAGTATGCATTCGTTTTGCATGCGCAAGATTCAAAACAGACATCTCCTCATCTGATCAACATCCATGGCGCAAGACAAAACGTACACAACCACATTAAAATGCCTTAAACTATTTTATTCATTTACACATTTTAATTAATTGGTCCATTAATATTAATTAATATAAATATTTACACATGAACTGTTGTTGCTATTTGGTCCTATTAGTTGCTTACACAAACCTTTCTAATCAAGGAATGTTCTGGAACCGCCACATTACAAATTTAGATCTGAATAACCCTGGTTTAGAGCGCTCTTATAGTCAGATTCCAGCCAATAGATAAATTATGGCTGGGCACGGAAAACCATTTGGGCCTGATACAGCTAATGAATTGTAATTACCGAACATAATTACATGCCCCATGTGCAGTGTCTTTTTGGCAAATATTTTGAAAGGCTGTTAAATTTCATCACACAAATTAGTGCTCTAATGTTGTCTAATCACAGCTCTATTAAACGCCTTAAATGACCAAATGTGTATCAGGGCTATGTGAATCATAGCCTGGGGTTTTGTGATGTTTCTAAACATCTTTTTGTTACAACCCACCATTAGCTTATTTGACTGGCCACCTGAATCGAATGGGTTTAATCCATCCATCCATCTTCAACCGCTTATTCCTGCTTCAGGGTCGCGGGGAACCTGGAGCCTATCCCAGGAAGCATCGGGCACGAGGCGGGGTACACCCTGGACAGGGTGCCAGTCCACAATCACATTCATACACTACGGACAATTTACCAAGCTGCCAATCAACCTACCATGCATGTCTTTGGACTGGGGGAGGAAACCAGAGTACCCGGAGGAAACCCCCGCAACACGGGGAGAACATGCAAACTCCGCACACATGGCCCCGGCGGGAATCGAACCCCTCGAGGTGTGAGGCGAACGTGCTAACCACTAAGCCACCGCCCTCAAATGGGTTTAATCCAAAGTTTAATTCAAAACAAGCAGGGATTTAGATAATAAAAGCTGGACGTAACGTATGCTGTTTGTTCAAGAATAAAACACTCTGAGGTTTAATAAATAGCCAAATTATTATTATCTTCAACTCAAATCCATACACATGCACCTGTAAGAGGCATGGCCAAGGTGAGGAATGATATCAAATTGCTCCTAGGGAAAGAACTCGTTCCTATACTGCATCCAGTCCATTTTTTGTGTAACATTAGTGAAGTGGATATGGCTTAAGGGATACATTTACAGTATAGGGGCATGCATTTACAAAAAAGATTCTGGACAAGAGATTTTCATGATGTGTCAGTGAATGTAGATACTTCATACATCATACTTTCCTTTTCTGTTTAATACTCTAGAGAAATATATGCATTAGTGTTTCCTGTTAATTAACCTGTGGCGTTGAAATAATGGGTGTATGGCTATATGGACAAATAAACATTTCTCGTGTCATTCTCTCTACTGACTCATATAATATCATAAAATAATGATATTGGACACATATACATTACAGCACAGTGAAATTCTTTTCTTTGTTTTCCCCAGCATGTCAGGACGTTGGGGTCAGAGTGCAGGGCCATGATACAGCACACCTGCAGCAGAGTGGGTTAAGGGCCTCGCTCAAGGACCCAACAGCAGCAGCTTGGCAGTGCTGGGGCTTGAACCTGACCTTCTGATCAGTAACCCAGAGCCTTAACCACCAAGCCAGCACTGCCCCCAATATACAAAAGGTCTAACCATTTCCTGATCTCTTTATGGGACAATTTCTCATTCCCAATCTTTGATATTAACCCGAACTCCAATATTCTGACTTGAACCTCTGAATTCTAGGTTTTCAATGACTAGGTTTCCTTCCTGAATTCTACTGGGTCAATGCAGCATAACTCCATCATATCCATAATGCTACACTCTTCGTGAAAACGTCAAAGAAGTGTTGTAATTCATACTGTATTTATTACCTATTTTTGGTGATTTTGTTAAGTTGCTTCGAGTTGTTCCAAATGGGCAGAGACTGCATTAATCATCTTTCCTGCTTTAAAAAAAAGAAAAAAAGAAACGTACATATACAGTTTTCAAGAACGGATTATGTCTGCGCAGGAGACTTTGAGAGATGAATTATTACTGATCTTTTTTTTTTTTTGGACTGCGGAAAATGCAATTACGTGCTAATTATTCCTCCCTTTCTACACCGGCATCACATATCACTCATGAGCTCAACTTTATGAATAAGTAAATACAGACACAATAAAACTTCTGACACGGACGCGAACGCTGAGGAGTGAACTCGTTTATAAGCTACTTTGTTAAAGGTCAAATGTATATACATGGTATCATTTTTTTTCCAATCTGGAAACAATAGGAATAAATCACTCTAAAATCATATAAGCACAAAGGCAACATTTGGATTAAGATGGGCAATTTGATGGAAGTGCGGGATTCTGAGATCTCCGTTCTCCATCAGGGGAAATTGAAAAATACTGATCGATGCTGAGCTATTTGTAAAAAATAACCCACTCAGTCCAGGTAAAATGGTTGATCAGGCCTGAATAGGGATATAATAAGAAAGGTTTATACACACAGTGGTACATCTCAGCATCTTGAGGTTACTTTAAAAATGTCAGTTGGGGTGAAACGCTTAAACCTTGGAGATCCTTTGCAACATGACAGTTTCTGGAGGATCTCTTCCTCTATCGTAAAATAACAGGCTTGGAACAAACCATGCAGCGAATGAACAGATTCAGAGAAGCAACACATTTCTGCCTCCACTCACAGATGGCTGGTGTGCTCTCTGGGTTTTTTTTTTTTTTTCCCTGCACTTTCTGTCCAACGTTCAGCGCAGCCACTTATGCCCATCCGTATCTGATTTTTTTTTTTTTGCGCTACAGTACATTCTCACAGTAACGTGTGTGATGCCCCACTGCTCATTGCTCTGCAGTCCGGGACAACAGGGCCTCCTAACGATGAACTAATCATCATGTTAAAAGTTTACTCCGTTCGTATGTTCCCACCTCGATTCCAGTTAAATAAATAGTAAAAAAATATTCCTTCCGGCTTGATTTTTTTCTTTAAAAAATGTTTGTTTGTTTTTTGAGATGTGTTGTGGCACTTGAAACAAGTGCAAATCTGTGCCTCCACACCATTAAAAGTCCAGGTTCAAGAGTTCAGGATAAAAAAAAAAAAAAAAGACTTCCCTCATCACAGGAGGATTTCCCCAGGAAGCCTCGGCCCCGTCCCTTTTCTCCCTTTGCTCTCTCAGGAGGGCACAGCGTCCGGCTTCAGGGCTCAAAGTGGAAGTGGAGGATGAAGGCAGGCCTCGGAGTGAAGTGGCATTAAAAAAAGGTGAGCTCTGTGGGTGGGGTTTTGGGTTTAGCACTCGGCGTCCACGCTGTGAACGGTGACTGCCGCCTGCAGGTGGTGTGTGTGCGTGTGCAGCGGGGCGTGTGTGTGTGTGCCGGTGCGGGTAGAGCTTGTGGCTGAGCAGTGCAGCGGTCTGGGGTGGTGTGTCCAGTTCCAGCTCCTCGTCATGGTTTCCCACATCCACTCCTGCTGAGAGGGGCTCACTGGTGCACGGTGGATTCTCGCTGTCCTCTTGAGGACTCATAGTGCTGTAGCCTAGGCACACACACAGTTATATAGTTCATACACAGCTCATGATGCTACAGCTTAACAACAAAAATTAAAAAAAAAAAACACCAAAAAAAAACCCTCAGTCCCACATTGGTCACACGCATTTGAAAAGTTCTCCAAACTATCTCAAATTTCAATCCAAGCAGATGTTCACAGCAAATCGTTGAGCTGCTTATGCTCACATGATCAAGTTTCCTGCAAGAATGTCTAGATTAATCGGTAGGCTTAAAAAGATCGTTCAACGTGATTAATCATGACTTGGAGAACCTTCTCACACACACGTAGCCCTCATTAATTTACTCATGCTTCCGGTCTCACCTCTCTTCTCAAGTGGAGCCATGCTTTTCTTTTTGAAATCTCTGCACTGGTACAACACCAGCTGGGATGCTGTCCAGGAGTTCGCTCTCTGATACTGACAGGCTACTTCTAAATCAAATTGGGTCTTTATATTGATATTGTATCGTTTATGCCCATAACTCTTTTAGACTTGTACCTATGAATTGCTGCTGAAATCATAAATAATGCCCTGTGCTCATCCCAGAATTCCAATTCACAATATACTCATGTCTTTACACTTCCACACCCGTACAGTGTAATGATTTTTAATCCTAGACCTAGAACTGGGCGGGTTTCCTTTTGAATCTGGTTCCTCTCAAGGTTTTCTCCTCGTGTCTTTTCAGAAAAAATCCAGATTGATGTAATCCTACATTCCTAGGAGAACATGACAAATCAATAGGCGATCACTCGTTTTCGAATGCACATGCACGAGAAATGTAATCGTACTGTATCTAATTGTCAGACACCGACACGTGTCAGCCAGAATTGCATGACATCACATTATACACAACAGTGAATTAAATCAGAAATTAGATCTGATACCGATTCAGAGATCCAGCCGCGTCACTGATATATACTCATTACTGGATTTGTAAAATTGTCATTATAAATAGCCCACAATCCTGGCAAGACATTGCCCTGGGTGTGACGTGAGCTCATGATTGCGAACATCTCAGAAAGATGAAGTTCAGCCAGGCGCTGCAAGGCAAACTGGAAAAACAACTCCGCTGATAGAAGATGCACCTGCGCTCTGAAGGAGACGACTAATCCCGGGTCACGAAGGTTCGGGGAAATTCTATAGGCAACAGTTAGTTAGATACAGAGCTGCAGGCGAATATTAGAACAGTGTGTTGGTGGTGCAGGAGTGAGTCAGAGCTCACTGTGAAAAGCCGAATCGATTCGACCCCTTGAGCTGGATGAGTGAATAGCTAGTGGGAGGCGACCTTTGGCTGAGCTGTTTAAAAATACAGAAAAGTTTGCTGTGTTGCTCTAAGCTCCCTTTCTCTTGTTCGCTTCGTAGATATCTGTATCTTTCTTTCTGCTTGTTCAACTCTTCCCCTCTCCGTGTGGAACGGAGTTGGTGGTTTTTTTTTTTCTTTCCTGTTAGGCTTGTAAACACCGAGGAGCTGTTGCACCGTTTAAAAAAAAAAAAAAAACAAGACCTGGATGCAGCAGGAGGCAATGCTTTATACCAACCTGAGCAAACTGGAGGAGACGTAGTGACTACTTTTACTTTCTAATGGGAAAAGACATCACGACACGTCCTGCATGGACAAAACGCTACGATTAAGCTCGTCTTCGCTCCGTCTCGGTCAGTACATAGTAGTTGTTTGTTTTTTTTTTGCCTTTTTATAAAATATATTGGCACTGGGTATGTCTGCGGATGTGGTTTCTATGACGTTCCACAACCCTGTGAGGAACTAAAGAGTTCTGGAAATCTCTTGAACTAGACTGACATAGTCCCTGTGCTGTGTTTGGAATAGTCCCTGACTCACTGTCCCCTTCACACTCTGACACTACATAGAGTACCATTATAGCGAACAGGATTAGTGAAAGGAAGTAAACACACTACACAGAATCGCAGCCGTAAACAGTCGTTCTTGCACCAGCGTCTTTTCTCTCTCTCTGAGAGAGAGAAAAATCCCAAAGCAACAGTTTGTCATGTCAGAGAGAAACCGCTCAGTGCTCTGGCCTGAAGATTTTCCTGTGTTGGAAAACCTACAGCTTTACTTTGGACTGTTACAAAGCACAGACACCGCAGAATTGAAATAAGCGTCTCCTCAGAGAAAACGTCACCAGATGAAAGATTGCATACAATTCTGTGAAATAATAAGTACACCCCATGGAAATTGTTTTTTTTTTTTGCTACATTTGGACAAGCAAAAATTTGAAACCGTGCCTATTAATACAGTTGATATACTTGAACTAAACCACAAGGAAAACGAGCCTTTTCAATCATTCATTCAACATAAAAATCAATAGATGCGATGATGTTCTGTGGAAAAAGTAAGTACACCCTTGGCATCAAATGCTAGTATTGTAACTTCTTGTAGGCGTTTTGCATAATTGTCCACCAGGCTTGCTGGAATTTTTGACCATTCGTCAATGCGATATTCTTTCAGTTTTAAGATGTTTGAGGGTTTTCTTGCATGTTCTGCCGGTTTCAAATCCCGCCCACAACATTTCAATGGGTTTCAAATCCAGGCTTTGACTAGGCCGTTCCATAACCATCTAGTTTTTCTTTTTGAGCCATTCCTTGGTGGATTTGCTCGTGCGCTTAGGATCATTATCCTGTTGAAAGATCCACTTTCAGTTCTTTCAGACAGGTGGCCTCACATTATCTTCAAGCACTCTTTGATATGATGCAGAATTCTTAGTTGAATCAATGTATGCATGCAGTCCAGTCCCTGAAGGAACCTCAAAGTATAACATGTCTGCTGTTACTGTGGCCAAACATCTCTATCTTTGATTCATCTGTCCAGAGCACATTATTCCAAAAGTCCTGGTCTTTGCCTATATGCTCATTGGCAAACTGTAGTCTTGCAAAGGCTTTTTCCTGGCACGACTCCTATGCAGGTCAAATCAGTGCAGTTACTCTTTCTGATTGTAGAAGCACTTTGATACCAACAGTTGAAAGACTTACTATCAGATCCTGTGATGAAATTTTGGGGTTCTTGGAGACGTCTTTTAGCATCAGACAGTCTGCTCTTGGGCTGAATTTGCTGGGATGGCCAGTTTGGCAGTCGCTTA